TTTATTGGCTGCCTCCTGTACCGGGGTTTTGCTTTGGCACCAAGGAGACCGCAGTCAATGCCAGAGGCTCCTGCCTTGAAGATCCCAAGACCGGGATGGAGACCGATGAGCTGGATCTGTCCCAGCGTGCAATGCAGGGAGGGCTGAGTGCGTCCCCCGACGTCTGTGTCGGAATCCTCACCAGCAAGGCCATGGTGTTAGGAGGTGGGGCCTGTGGGAGCCAGTGAGGTTGTGAGGGTGGAGGCTCATGGGTGGGATTAGTGCCTTTGGAAGGGGGGCCGTGGGAGCTCCCAAGCCCCTTCCGCTCTGAGAGGATGCAGCAGCCAGGGAGGGGGCCTGGACCAGGAACGGAACTGGCCGGCCCCTCGATCCTGGACTTCCAGCCTCCAGAACCGTGAGGAGTAGGCGGAGTGAGGCCACACGGCCTGTGAGGATCTGTTGTAGTGACCAGAGGGAAGACAGTGCAGTGGACACACCAGGGCTGGTGTGTGTCCTGCAGCCTCTCTGGGAGCCCAGGGCACCTGTCCCCAGGAATCACACATGAGAAGCCAAACACAGCAGAGGCTGTGGGGAGGCGGCCCCGGACCCCCGCTGGATGCCTCGCTTCACACACCTGCCACCGTGGGGGACAGTACCGGCCTCCCAGACCTGCGCCCCAGCCCACAGGCGGAGCACTCCACCCCTGCACTGTCAGGGCCACCGGAGCCTCATGGCCTCCCTCCACCTTCTACTGGGCAGCCTCTTCCTCAGAGAACAAAGAGCATTTTGGTTTTTTCTGAGACAGGTTCTTGCTGTGTCACCCAGGCTGCAGTGGAGTGGCATGATCTCAGCTCACTGCAGCCTTGACTTCCCGGGCTCAAGCGATTCTCCCGCCTCAGCCTCCAGAGTAGCTGGGACCACAGGCGCCACCATGCCCGGCTAATTTTATTTCTATATATTTTGTAGAGATGGGGTTTCGCCAGGTCACCCAGGCTGGTCTCAAACTCCTGGCCTCGAGTGATCCGCTCGCCTCAGCCTCCCAAAATGTTGGGATTACAGGCGTGAGCCACTGTGCCTGGCCATAAAGAGCTTTCCGGAGGCTCCTGAGGTGCATCCACCTCCCAGTCCACCTCCTGCAGAGACCCCCATCGGAGGCTGGCCCATGCTCGGTGGCCTGTTCCCGTTGTTCTGTGTTCCCATGTCCGCTCAGGAGGGAGCCTGGCCTGCACCCCACAGGGCACAGTCCTGCGTCTTGCTCTGAGGATGCGCTTCTTCCTCTTCTCCCACTGTGCCAGGCCCTGCCACTGCCCCAACACCGTGGATGTCCAGGGCTGTGGGCAGACAATGGCCCTGATGTCCAAGGACAGACGACAGAGGGTGCAGCAAACAGGTCCCCACTTGGTGGCGGTGACGTCCGGTTCCTACTGCGTGCACTGGTTGGTGACAGCAGCAGTGGCTGGATGGAGAGAACCACACCCCTGCCAGCAGGAGGCCTGGCTGGTCACCTGAGCACAGACGCTAGGGCAGAGCCAGGAGGGGACTCAGGATGAACGCTGCCACACTGGGGTGGCCGGAGAACCAGGCACGGGCGGGAGGGAACCCCAGCCTGTTCCCGGTGGCCTGGGGGCCTCATCCATAGCCAGGGGATGTGAGCAGAGTGGCAGTCACTGTGTGACCCGAGGCTCTGAGATCAGAGTCCCCACCCTGGGCCCCGTTTTGAGGCCTGAAACTTCCATGGTTAGATGGTGATGGGGAGCCCCTCCTTCAGGGAAAAAGATAAGATTACAAATTCTAAAGTATGAGGACAAATCTAAACACAGAAGCATTAAAAAAAATCACATCACAAAGTTTAAAAAGCTGGAAAACACAATAACACAATATTCGGTGACGGTTTTATTGGTAGCTGCCTGTGATTAATAAGCAATCGACCCAGGCCATTTTCCCCACCGCATGGTCGTCTCTTCGCACGCCTCTGTAGCATACCAGCTTTCTCCCGGCAGGGCTGCCCAGGATTGTGTTCTAACCTCGGCACCTGGAAGGCAGCCTCCCCATCACGGCTCGCCGCTGTGACAACGGTCATGGGTCCGGCTACAGGACCGGCATTTCCTACCACATCCGGCCTCCCACTGCCAGCTCTGTTTCTCTTGCAGTCCCCACACCTCGCAGGCTGGGAGTACATGTCCACCTCGCCAGGTGACCTCTGGCCCTGGCCATCCTGTCCTGAGACTCCCTGCTGCTCCTACAAGTGGAGACGACATGACTGGGAACCCTGAAACGTCCCCCAGCAGACTGAGCCACCAAGTGCGTGCCCAGTTCAGCCTCCCTACGCGGGTCCCACACACCCCCAGGTCCCTCAGTGCCCCTCAAGGTGAAAGGAGCATGACAGATGAATCCTGAGTGGAAGGGGCCGCTGGTCCCAAACACGGACGGCTGAGTTTTCTGCAAGTTTTACGAAATGATAAAACTTTGTGAACGCACTGGCAGGGCCCCAGAGCTCGGCCTTCCCTGTGGTCCCGGCACATTTCCCCTGCCTGGGAACCCAGAGTCCGTGGGCCATGGCGGCCTTCCCTGTGGTTCCGTGGCACATTCCCCCTGCCTGGGAACCCAGAGTCCGTGGGCCACGGTGGCCTTCCCTGTGGTTCCGTGGCACATTTCCCCTGCCTGGGAACCCAGAGTCCGTGGGCCACGGTGGCCTTCCCTGTGGTTCCGTGGCACATTTCCCCTGCCTGGGAACCCAGAGTCCGTGGGCCACGACGGGCTGATGCTCGGCTTGGGAGCTCCTCTCCTGTGACAGCCCAGATGCAGAGGTGGTTGCTGGCTGCCCTGGGCCTCCCAGATGGGCACCTGAGGACCCCGGCCTCCTCCTGCTTGGGGTTCAGCCCAAGAGCAGAGCTTCTCAGGCCCTCAATCACCGTGGATGGAGCAGGCTTTCCTGGAGGAAGGACGAGCGCTGTCTGGAATTCTCCATCTTCCGTGAGGGAGGCTGAGCGGATGGCTGGGGGCCCAGAGGGGGCCATGCTTCAACACAGGCAAGAAGGAACCGGCCCCACCTTGCCCAGAGCCACCCTGTCACTGCTTCAGATCAACTGCCCCCAGGAGCAGGATCTGCCGCCTCCCACACCCCACCCAGCAGAGAAAGCTGCACCCTCAGACCCAGACCCCCGCGGCAGCAATGCAGGTTCCGGGTCCCAGCGAGACCCACAGAAGTGGACTCAGTGGGGGGCCCAGAAACCCAGCCCCAACAAGCCCTCTGGGTGGTTCTTACGAGTCTGGACCTGCTGGCTTCACCGCAGACCTGGCCCCGGCTACAGAACCGGCCACCCCAGCCTTGTTCGTGTGAAGCTGTGATGCTGGAGGTCCTTGGCCTGCTCCTCAGGGGTCCGCAGGGACTGGGACAGGTGGGTTTCTTTTCCTGTCCACCAACAGGGTAGGACAGGGACTGGGGACTTTACCCTGTGCCCTCCCACACCTGCCTGCCTCATGCCACCTGGAGGCCACAAGCCCCCCTGTACACAGCAGCCTCTGTCCATTTGCAGGCCACCCGCAGCCCTGCCCCCTCCCTTCCTTCTTAGGAACCATCCCTGTCCCTACCAGTCGGTGTCTATTTTCCTGCAAAATAGCTGTATTGCCTAAAAGACCTCTGATCTCAATCTGTGCAAAAGGAAAGCCTGGCTTCCCCGACTTCCCGCAGCCCGGCTCTGCTGCTTTCTCTCTGGGAAGGAGGGCCCCCTCCCAGTCTGGCCTTCTGCTTCCAGCTCCGCTCCTGCCCCTCCAGGTGTGGGTGGATGTGGCAGGGGGCTGTGGGAAGGGGCGGTGAGCAAGGCTGAGGCTCAAGCCTCAGGGGAGCCTGCCCCAGCCCTGGCTGGGTGTGTCTGAGCCAGTGGCCCACATACGCTTCATGTGGCCGGCCCGGCCATCCTCTCTTGGGCAAGGTTCAGGGCAGTGGGCCTCTAATTGTCCTCTCCACGTACTCTGAACACCAGAGATTAGAGTCTTCGGAGCAGGCCTACCCGGTAGTTAACAGGCATCTGGCATAATTCTCCATGTCTGTCCACAAGGCCCAGAGGAAGGACAGAAATAGGAATCCCAGTGGGGCCAGAGCGGCTTCTCGGGTCAGCCAAGGGCCACGGCTGCCTCGCCTCTGCCAGGACACAAGGCGCTGGGCCGGCTGCACTGTGACACTTCCACAAGTTAGGGGTGGGCTGGCCCGGCCTTTGCTGCCTCTGGGGTCTACGGCGTGTGGTGAAGGTGACTGGCAGGGGAAGCCTGGACATGGGGAGTGTGCACATGCGTGTGTGCCTGTGCAGATGTGTGCGTGTGGATGTGTGCGTGTGTGCATGTGTGTGCGCGTGTGTGTGCATGCGTGTGCACGCGTGTGTGCGTGTGCGTGCCTGTGCGGATGTGTGCGTGTGCATGTGTGCGTGTGTGTGCATGTGTGTGCGCGTGTGTGTGCATGCGTGTGTGCGCGTGTGTGCCTGTGCAGATGTGTGCGTGTGTGTGCATGCGTGTGCATGTGTGCGTGCGTGTGCGTGTGTGCATGTGTGCACGTGTGTGCATGTGTGCCTGTGCGGATGTGTGCGTGTGTGTGCGTGTGCATATGTGTGCGTGTGTGCGTGCGTGTGTGTGTATGTGTGTGCATGTGTGCATGTGTGTGCGTGTGTGTGCATGTGTGTGCGTGTGTGTGCATGTGTGTGCGTGTGCATGTAGGTCTTAGCTCAGACCCTGCCTCATGGTGGACACCGCCTCCTGCGTCTCCCCAACACTGGTATGCGCCTTCCCGCATGGTCTACGGGACTGGGCTGTTGCTTTCGTTTCTTCAAGGGAAGAAGACGGTCATTGCCCCGGACCAGGGCAAATCAATTATCTTGTACTAACGGGAATGGCTTTGGGAAGTGCCCACATGCCCACATCTGAGCCAGCACTAGGCACCCCTCCCCTGTTGCATTGTGGACGGTCTTGCCCTCGGCAGCACTGGGGCTCGTGGCCATCTACAGAACGCAACCTTCTGTGACCGATACCCCTGAGTTACAGCCGGCATCTCACCAGGCCCCCAGGCAGGCGGGTCCTGGTTCAAGCAGGAGGCATCTCTCGGGTTCTTTATTACACGTGCCTGGGGCACACACATGATTCCCTTTCACAGAAAGGAGAGGGCCCCCCTGGATGGACCCATCAAAGAGGCGGCCTCAATGCACGCGGCCCTGCACCAGGCCACGGGGCTCAAGCTCACGCTTGTCTCCAGTGAGCTGGAGGGTGGTGTGGTGTGGTCTTCACCACACAGACAGTGAAGGGGGCAGTGGTGTTCAGGACACAGGGCTGAACCACTGTGGCCTCTCAGTGCTCTGTGTTGGGCCTGAGACTAGCAGGGATACACGGGCCATTCCTCTAAATGCCGAGGACAGCAGGTTTGCACGTGTGCAGGAGTCTCATGCAGGAGGAGGAGCCCTGGGGAGACCCTACCCTGGTGGCCTTCCAGAGCCCACGGTACCGAGGTTGCATTACCCCTGGAGCCCACCGGGGTCAGAGCAGGTGCCATGAATAGCCAGTCCCTCACTCCCCATCTGTCACCAAAGCCTCTCCCCTCCACCAACTGGGCTGCACCACCCCCACCCCAGCCAGGACAATGGCTTAAGGAAGCCACCAGTGAGCAGAGTGGGTCCCGAGGCCTCATGGCTGAGATGGGAACAGAGTCAGCATCAGCTCCGGGGCAGTGGGGTCTTTGGAAGCCCTGACCGGGAAGGGAAAACACAGCCATTGACTGCGGATGGTGGAGGAGGGTCTCTGGCTGGATCTCAGGTGACAGAGCTGGGCTTGCACCTCAAGAAGGGTCTCTGTCTGGCAGGCCCAGCGCTGGTGAACAGGAGTTACAGAGAGGGGTTCAGGTCTAGGAGGAGCCTGGGTCCTGCACAGTGATGACCACCGTGAACTCTGGCCCGGGAGCTGTCTCTCGGGGAGCTGGCAGTGTGGGAAACTGCAGAGCCCTCTCTCCAGGGTCTGGGCCCAGCTGCGTCACCTTCTCTCCCAGACTAGGATGGGTGACAGGCTGCCTCAGGGGCCAACACCATGGCTCTCTAGACACAAGACAGCCAGACCTTGAACCTGCTCCCTGGAGACCCCGATGGAAGGAGCTCCTGGGTGCACCGAGGACAGGGATGAGGTGCGGGACCTGTTTGTCACCTCCCAGGTTGATATCAGAGCCACTCCACACCTTTTACAGGTGAACCTGTGGAGCGTGCTGGCTGCGGAGGTGTGGGCAGCGTCCGGCGGGCAGGAAGGGCCGAGGGCCACGTGGCAGTGGGGTGGGCGGGGGCTGAGCCTGGTGGTGCAGACAGCGCTGCTGGGTGGATGGCGCCTACACCACAAACTCCTGTGGGGGTGGGGTCTCTCCGAACAGGTCCAGGGTGAGGCAGTTGCCGGACCTCTTGATGGGGAGAGTGGCCCTGTTCTCGCAGGGGGCTGCCAGCCCGCAGTCTGGGGCACAGTGGAAGGTATGGCTGGGTGAGGTGGGCGCTGGTTGCAGGGCCAGCTGGTGCAGACGTGTGTCGTCCAGGCTGCGGCTGTGCGGCTCCTCGCTGACCCCGGCTTTCATTTCCCAGATCTGCAGGGAGAGGACACGGGGTGAGGCCTGCCGCCCCCTCCCGCTCCCACCACTGCAGACGGCAGCCACACTGCTGGTGGCCACAGAGTCACACTCCTTGCCATTGCTCACCCTGTGCCGCTGTGCACGGCCAGCCTGTCCCTGGACGGGCTCCCCCAGCCTACGCCTCTGTGAGAGAGGCTTGGCGTTTTCTTTTGAAGCATTTTGGGAGGCCCCCACCTTGCCTAGCTTCTTTCCCAGGGCTGCTTTCTGCCTTTTAACTCAGTGGACCTGGACTCTCAGCGTTTGGTGTAATTTAGGATCAGGTCTGAGTGTGGGCCTTGAACACCAGCTCTGGAAGCACCTCCGACGTCAAGAATGGCCTCTTATTTTTATACGGGAGGAAACTGTGTTCAGAGGTGACTGTCCAAGGTCTCGTCCAGGTGGGCGTCCAGTGGGCAGTGTCATGGCCCTTAAGTGACACCTCCGGCTCAAGCTTCTCGGCTGCCATAGTCCCTCAGATCTGCCCTGGACCACTGTGCTCCCAGGAGGCAGATGAGGCCCCTGGAGGCTGGCAGCAGGGAGCAGGGGGCAGGGGCAGGCGGCGGGCCACACTGAAGGCTGCCCAGCGCCAGGGTCTGACTTGCCCTTCTACGTGTGTTTTCTTGTTTTTAATCAATACGTTTTTCAAGAGTGACAGTCCCTGGCCCAGAGCTCAGGCGGCTTTGGGCGGCCGTCTCCTCCGGAGTGGACTGACCTGGGCTTGGGATCTCCCCCACTGGGATGAGTCCGTGCCTGCCAGGACTTGCAGCCTCCCCTCCCTCCTCCCGTGCCCAGCCCTTGTTCTCTCTCCATCCAGCATCACGATAACTAACCAACCACAGCTGATTTTCTCTGTCTTTCCATGGGGATTCTGGACAGGGCTGACCAGAGGGGGCCTCACCCCCCTGCGGTGGAGTCGGGGGCAGGGGTTGGGAGGGCAACTTGGAGCCTGGCTGGGAACCCTGAGCCCACCTGTTCCCCACCTGGGCATCCAGGAACCACTGGCACTGCCTCTCCTCTAGCTCTCTGGGGGGACCCTAAGGCTCAGGGGCTCCACAGGAAGTGGGGGAAGGCCTGGAGCAGCCCTGCACACATGGGACCAGGTCCCAGGTGGAGGAGGTAGACGAAGGGGACGGGGGCAGCCAGTCTGCTACATGGCAGGTCGCAGGGCCCAGGTGTCCAGGTCCTGCCTACAGTGGCCCGGTGACACTCAGGGCCCAGCCACCCCCGCCCCAGGCAGGATCCCTCACTCCCCACAGTGAGCCGGCTCACTTGGCCTTGAGGCTGAGGCCTCCACCCACGCCCACCTGCCCCAGTGTCCGAGAGCCTTGCTGCTCCCTGACTTGCCCGCTGTGTCTCTGGGGGTGTCAGTCAAGGGACCCTCTGATAGGCCTTGAAAGGTTCCCGGCCCCTGACAGGGCACCTAGGAGACGAGGGTGGAGGAGCAGGGCCCAGGGCTTCTGGCCCATGGTGGGGACTCTACCTGGTGCGGACTCTACCTGGTGCACAGCCTCGGTGCTCTGGCCTCTGGTCCTGACCTCGGCGCAGGGTTCCTGGTGAGTGGCTGTGGGAGGAGGCAGCCATGAGCACAGGGGTCTGGGTTCTGCCTGACATGGCTCCTCCCCAGGGCAGTTCCCTGCAGTTCTGGGGCCCTGGTCTCGGACCCAGCTTCTCCCGAGGCTCACACCGCCCCCTTGCTCTCAGTGCCAGGGGACTTCCTAGGTGTGGGAGGGGCTCCTGAGATGGGCTTCCAAGAAAGCTAAAGGACCTGGACTCATCTGCAACCCCAAGAGGACCCCACCTCTCCCATCTCTGATGCCAGCCTGCGGCTGCCTCTTGGCGAGGACAGGGGACTCAGGCACGGCAGGCTGCAGGCAGCTCCTCCCTGCCATCTCTGTCCTTCCGGCATGTTCTGGCACATTTCCCGGGACTCAGGTCACAGTCAGCCCAGCCCCTCACGTCTGGTCACTGGAGGGCAGGCCAGGGCTTTGCTGCCTCAGTGTCCAGGGTCAGCCAAGCTGGGGCTGGCTGGGCTGCACTCACTGTCCCTGGGGCCTGGGCATCTCCCTCAGGCCCACCTTGGCTGTCACCACATATGCCGGGGTGGCTGTGGCTGGTCCTGGGGCTGGAGGACAGCTCCTTCTCATGGAGCCCCTGGACCTCCAAGGGTGTGTCCACAGACATCTCTCTGGATTCCCTGAGCCAGGAGTCAGCCTCGATGCCTGACGTGTGGGAGCTGCCATGGCTGTCGGCGGAGTGGCGTGAGAGGCGGTGAGGGCAGTGCTGGCTGCTGACCCCACTGCCCGGGGAGCCCCTGCTGTCCGGGTCCAGCTCCAGCCCATCGCTGATGTAGGACTCCCGGTAGTGCTGCTTCTCTGCAGGGAGCACAGTGAGGACGAGCTGGAGAGGGACCATCCCCGCTGATGCAGGAGGAAGAGCCCAGGAGACAGAAACGCACACCCACAGCTCAGATGAGGACGTGGAACAGAGAGGGAGACCAGGCCTGTGGGTAAACGCTGAGGCCTTGTCGGAACCTGCGTTTCTTGCTCTTTGTGGGCACATGATGGGAGGAGAGGTGGGAAACAGACCAGGAAACTGAGAAGTGGAAACCTCAGGCGGCTCCTCAAGCCCTCAGCCTCCCCCAGCCCCATCTATAGAATTCCACTCTGGGTAGAGCTGGGGGGCCACCACCCCGCCCTTCAACCTGAGCATCTGGGGGATGCGGGAGCCAGGAGGCCACAACAGTGAGAGACAGAGGTGCAGCCGGGCTGCAGAGCCCAGCGCGCCCAGCCCACCCCAGCCCAGAAGGTGTAGTCTGGCTGCGGAACCCAGTGTGCCCAGCCCAGCCCAGCCCAGAAGGTGTAGTCTGGCTGCGGAACCCAGTATGCCCAGCCCAGCCCAGCTCAGAAGGCGCAGTCCGGCTGCGGAACCCAGCGCGCCCAGCCCAGCCCCACCTTCTGCCTCCTCCCGCTGTCGCAGCTGCCGCAGTGTGGGCCGCACGCGGAGGTGGAGCTGGTGGCTGGCGCGCAGCAGGTGCAGCAGGTGCCTCGAGCGCCAGGTGCAGCCCGTGTAGTAAACCAGCTTCTGTGCCGCGGGCAGCCCGTCCAGCTGGATCTCCAGCTTCTTCCCCTGAACAAACAGGAGAGAAGGTGCCACGCCACAGGTGGAAAACCACGCTAGCAACGGGAAAGGATGATTTTAAATGTCAGCCATGGCCCCCAGGGGGACGGGGTTTAGGTTTTCACTTTGCAGTGCAGACGGCTGTTCACGGGCACTGTGCTCAGGGCATGCTCTGCTCTGCCCTTGCTTGAGAGGACACAGCCCTCTTGGCTAGAAAGTGCCCGCAGCTGCGTGAGGGGAGCGGAGGTCCGGGGTGGGATGGGAAGACCTCAGTCTGGTTGTCCAGAGCAAGCCTGCTGCCCAGCGGCCCCCACAGTCACTGCCCTTTTATCCCTGGCACCCGGGCTGTGGGATGGCCCTGGGTGACAGCTCTGGGGCCAAGACGAGAGGCACAGAGGCCACACAAGTGCGCTTCTATGACCCGCTCTTATTTTCTCCCTTGGTTTTCTCAATTGAAAGCCAGTTTTCAAGGAATAACAACAACTAGAGCTCACCAGGCAGCTAAACATCCAGTGCCTGCAGGGCCAGGGTCAGGCACAGAGCCCGTGAGGCCAGGACGGCCCTGAGGCTCCCGAGAGGCCGGCAGGAAGGGACCTGCACCTCGTCGGGAAAAAATGCCCAGAAAATGCCCCAAGGATGAAGCCGCACCTGCCCAGTCTCTCCCGGGCACGGGGACCCCCCAGACACCCACCAGAAATGCCAGCTTCCCAATGTGGGGCCAGGGGAGGTCGTAGAGCAGCTGCGGAGTGCGGTCCACCTCCTGCGGGACAGCAGAGGCGGGGTGCGTCCAGGTGGGGCCAGCCAGCGCCCATGGCCACTGCAGGGATGCTCCACGGCCCAGACCCCAGCGGGGAAGGGAGGAGGGGGTGGGGGCAGGAGGAGGGGCTCTGAAGCTGTAGCCCCTCCGGTCACCTGGTAGATGTGCACTCCCCTGAGGGTCAGTCCCAGGATCACGGTGGGGTGACCTTCCTTCTTATCCTAGAGGACACAGGTCAGAGGTCAAGTTGCAGGCCTGGGGGCACCGGGCCTCACTGATGGCAGAGTGTGGTCAGTCTGGCTAGGGGCCGAGGCCTCCACGGACCAGGCTGAGCTCTGGGGCCCATTTACAGACAGTCTCATTCACTCCAGCATCAGACCAAAGGCACAGTTATCATAGCACAAGCCTGCCTTTCATCATGCTAAATAAACATCAGCCATGACCTAAGAGAGCCCTGGCCATGCCGGCCCCGGGGTCCTGATAACACTGTCAGCTTGGGGGGTTCTGGTTACGCCTGCCCTGGGGTCCTGGTCCCACTGTTAGCCATGGGGCCTCCGTCCATCCCTGGCCTCGGGTCCTGGTCCCACTGTTAGCCATGGTGGCTACATCCATCCCTGGCCTGGGGTCCTGGTCCCACTGTTAGCCATGGTGGCTACATCCATCCCTGGCCTGGGGTGCTGGTCCCACTGTTAGCCATGGGGCCTCCGTCCATCCCTGGCCTGCGGTCCTGGTCCCACTGTTAGCCATGGGGCCTCCATCCATCCCTGGCCTGGGGTCCTGGTCCCACTGTTAGCCATGGAGGCTCTGTCCATCCCTGCCCTAGAGTCAGAGACCAGCCTGTCGCTGGCCGCCCTGGGCTCAACCTTGTGCAGCCTGAAGAAGTGCACGGGTACGTCCTCCAGCCGGCAGGCCTCCTGGATGAAGCACAGCACGGCCTCCTTGGGGCTCAGGCCCTGGCGCTCACGGTGCAGGGCGGGCATGTGCCGGAGGATGTAGTCAATCCCCCTCTTGGTGATGATCTGAGGACAGAGCCGGGAGGTCAGCTCAGACCCCTGCTGGTCCCCCCTTCGTCCTCACCAGCCCCCTGCTCCGAGAAGCCTCCCCAGACTCCCACAACTGGTGCCGACCTCAGTGGGTAGGGCCAGGGCCTGACTGCTGAGCCCAGACCCAGAGATGAAGTCTCGGTGCCCGCTCTGGCCCTGGGCTCTGTCTGATTTCCTGTCCCCCTCGGACCCTCCCCAAGGGAAATGCCGCAGCCAGCCCTCCTCAGGCGTCTGCAGGTGGGGACTCCACCCTCAACGAGCCCTGGCTCTTGGGAACCCGCACAGTGAGGACCAGCTGGGGCCACCACCGGGACGGGGGTAAGACCCACAGGGACATGGAATCACTGAGGGTGGAAATGTGCCCAGAGGCCAAGGGCAGGTGTGGCCTCCACAGTGCTGGGAGGAAGCCTGGCTGGGCCCCACCCTGGCCTCAGCGACTGCCACTCAGAGCAAAGGTGAGAAGGCCCCAAGGTGCACAGAATAGAGAGGGACACAGGGATGAGCGGTCAAGGAGAGAAACCTAAAAGTTCACCCGGAACAGGGCCTGCATCCCCGGGGTGACAGTCATCAACCCACGAGGCCAGCAGGCCAGACAGCGCCTGGGACCGGGCACACAGCGGCACAGCCCACGCCTCTCCATGGCCCTCCTCCCGGGGGTACAACACTCCTTCCCTTACAGGTGAGGAAGCTGAGGCTCAAAGGCTCCCACGGGTCCCAGGATACTGAGAGAGAAGCGGGAAGGTTCACAGCCATGAGGCCCGCGTGGTCACATTCCACAGCCAGGCCACCAAGGGGCTCAGAGAGGTGAAGCCAGTGAGCAAGGCCACACAGCTGGCTGGGTGCTTCAGGAGCACAGGCACCCGGACCTACCTGCTCTGGGCCACTCCTCCCACACCGCCCACCTTTGGGGGTGGTAAGGACCCTTGGGTCTTCAGGAGAAAAGGACAGATGACTGCCCTGTTTCCATCCCTGACTCTTCCTCCAGCATCCCCTGCCAGGCCCCCAGCCCCCTGCTCCTACAGACGGCACCCGGTGAAGGTGGACAGGCACCAGGCCAACGGTGCTGGGAGGAGGCGGGCCCCGACCTTACCCACTGTGGGAAGTAGGAGTGTGGCTCGAAGTACCTCCCGGTGTGGGCCGGCTCCCGGTGGTCGCCCAGGTCAGCCTGCAGTGCACAGGCGGCCAACAGGAAGTAGGCCTCCTCCCGGTGGGCGCACTGCGACCTCAGCACACGCTCCTTCAGGTGGCAGTAGTACAGGTGCCGTGCCCTGTGGTCGCTGGAAGGTGGCAGGGAGTGAGTTCCAGGAAGGCCGGCGTGGGGACTCCTGGCCCCTCTGGCCCTGCCTTGTCCCTCACCACGCCAGCTCCCAGGGCTGTCCTGAGACCCTGGTACCTTGTTCCTGTCTTGTTCTACCCACAGCTGTGTCCCTGCAGGGCCAGCGCGGCACAGGCCTGCACTCTTCCTGGAGCAGGACGCAGGCAACTTGCTGCCACCAAGCAGCCGCTAGATGAGGCTCCACCTGCCGAGGTCCCGCTCCTTCCCCAGTGAGCTCGGCCTCCATCAAACCAGGCCCCAGTGCAGGAGAGCTGCACAGAGTCTGGGCGACTCAAATCCCTGGATGTGGACAGACCTGGCTCCCAGAGCTCAACGCCCAGCATGGGGCCTGGCCATGGCTGGTATTCATTAATCACAGGGGCCGGGCGGGAGGTTCGCCCAAGATGCAGGTACAAGATCTTCTCATGTAATTCCCCTGAACTGGCCCCATAGCACCAGGTAGCTCCGTCCGTCAACCCAATACCTTCCAGACCTCCCCCGCAAGGCTATCCAGAACCTTCCACATATTCACACACCGCCCCCTTTCAGAACCTGCCACACAACCACACACAGTGTCTCCAGAACCTGCCACACAACCACACCCCCAACTCTCAGAACCTTCCACACAGCCACAGCCCCACGAACTCTCCAAGACCTTCCACACAACCCACACCCCCAGCTCTCCCAGAGACAGCTCACACAACCACACCCCCAACTCTCAGACCTTCCACACAACCACACCCCCAACTCTCCCAGAACCTTCCACACAACCACACCCCCCAACTCTCCAGAACCTGCCACACAACCACACCCCCCAACTCTCCAGAACCTGCCACACAACCACACCCCCCCCAACTCTCCAGAACCTGCCACACAGCCCACCCCCGAACTCTCAGGAGCCTTCCACATAGCCACACACCCCCAACTCTCCAGAACCTTCCACACAACCACACCCCCCAACTCTCCAGAACCTTCCACACAACCACACCCCCAACTCTCCAGAACCTGCCACACAACCACACCCCCAACTCTCCAGAACCTGCCACACAACCCGAACTCTCCAGAACCTGCCACACAACCACACACCCAGCGTCTCAGAACCTTCACAACCACACCCCCAACTCTCCCAGAACCTTCCACACAACCACACACCCCGAACTCTCAGAACCTTCCACACAACCACACTTCAAACTCTCCAGAACCTTCCACACAACCACGGCCCCCAACTCTCCAGAACCTTCACACAGCCACACCCCCAACTCTCCAGACCTGCCCACACAGCCACCCCCAACTCTCAGGAGCCTTCCACACACAGCCACCCCCAACTCTCAGAACCTGCCCACAACCACACCCCAAACTCTCCAGAACCTTCCACACAACACACCCCCAACTCTCCAGAACCTTCCACACAGCCACACCCCCAACTCTCCAGAACCTGCCACACAGCCACCCCCAACTCTCAGAACCTTCCACACAACCACCCCCAACTCTCCAGAACCTGCCACACAACCACACCCCGAACTCTCAGAACCTGCCACACAACCACATCCCCCAAACTCTCCAGAACCTGCCACAACCACACCCCAGACTCCTCCAGAACCTTCCACACAACCACACCCCAACTCTCCAGAACCTTCCACACAGCCACACCCCAAAAGCTCCCAGAACCTGCCCACACAACCACACCCCCAACTCTCCAGAACCTTCCACACAACCACACCCCCAACTCTCAGAACCTTCACACAACCCACACCCCCAACTCTCCAGAACCTTCCCACTACAACCACACCCCTCCGAACTCTCCAGAACCTGCCACACAACCACACCCCCGAACTCCTCAGAACCTGCCACACAGCCACTCCCCGAACTCTCCAGAACCTGCCACACAACCACACCCCCAACTCTCCAGAACCTTCCACACAACCACACACCCCCAACTCTCCAGAGACCTGCCACAACCCACCCCGAACTCTCAGAACCTACCACAACCACACCCCGAACTCTCCAGGAGCCACCACACAACCACACACCAGTGTCTCAGAACCTTCCACACAACCACACCCCCAACTCTCAGAACCTTCCCACACAACCACACACACCCCCGAACTCTCAGAACCTTCCACACAACCACACCCCCGAACTCTCAGAACCTTCCACACAACCACACCCACCCGAACTCTCCAGAACCTTCCACACAACCACACCCCCCCGAACTCTCCAGAACCTTCCACACAACCACAGCCCAGCTCTCAGAACCTTTCCACACAACCACAGCCCCCAGCTCTCCAGAACCTTCCACACAACCACAGCCCCCAACTCTCCAGAACCTGCCACACAACCACACCCCCAACTCTCCAGAACCTTCCACACAGCCACACCCCCAACTCTCAGAACCTTCCACACAGCCACACCCCCGAACTCTCAGAACCTTCCACACAACCCTCCCCAACTCTCCAGAACCTGCCACACAACCACACCCCCAACTCTCAGAACCTGCTGCAACCACTCCAGAACCTTCCACACAACCACACCTCCCCCAACTCTCCAGAACCTGCCACACAACCACACCCCCCCAACTCTCCAGAACCTGCCACACAACCACACACCAGTGTCTCCAGGACTCTCCACACAACCACACGCCTCTCATTCTCCAGAACCCTCCCGCACGCCCCTCACTCCCTAGAACCTTCCACACAACCGCACACATCCCTTTTGGAACTGGGCGGGGATGGTGCCTGCTTAGGGAATTCCTGGGTAACCCCCTTAGGTTTCCCCCCAGGGAAAACCCTGTTCACGCATCCCTGAAGCTCTGTTCCGGAAGTAAGTTTCAGGATCCTCCTGAGGGACATCTTTGTTTTCCTAGAAACTCTAAGGCAGCTCTGGAAGAAGTGGCCCCTGTTGGTTTAGAGTGCAGCCCACCAGAGGTACAACTTCTCCTCTCCTGCCGGGGAGAGCTTCCCACTAGACACCTGCAGAGTGGGCAGCGAACAGCGAGAACCACCGTGCAGAAAGCGCAGGAGCCCTTCGCCCAGCGGCCTCCGGAAGCCTCGCCCGCCCCTGGACGGTGTACCCACCCTAGCGAGTACGAGTCCTGGCGTTTGAGGAAGTACCACTTTAGGCCGGGCGCGGTGGCTCACACCCGTAATCCCAGCACTTTGGGAGGCCGAGGCGGGTGGATCACCTGAGGTCGGGAGTTTGAAACCAGCTTGACCAGCGTGGAGAAACCCCGTCTCTACAGAAAACACAAAATGAGCCAGGTGTGGTGGTGCCCGCTTGTAATCCCAGCTACTCTGGAGACTAACGCAGGAGAATTGCTTGAACCCGGGAGGTGGAGGTTGCAGTGAGCCGAGATTGGGCAAGGAGAGTGAAACTCCATCTCAAAAAAAAAAAAAAAAAAAAGAAAAGAAAAGAAAAGAAAAAGAAAAAGAAATAGAAAAAGTAACAATTTATGACAGTCTGTATACCTTTCAATTAAATAGAATTCCTGTGTTCCCCCAAAGCAAACAGCCAATATAGTGGTGTTTGTTTGTTTGTTTGTTTTTGGAGAAACTCAAATGTAATGTGTGGCCTTCATGGGACTTCTATGTCATGTGGCAGATTTTCAGTATTCCAGGAAACATCCTTTAAAGTCAGCATGCCGTTACCTTATGACCCTTCCGTTTTCCACATAGTGCTGCACCCGGAGGAACGCCACGAAAGGGGCTCCGGGTTTCTCATTTTCCTGGTGGGGAAAATACAAGAAAGAGCCAGTGAGCCACAGGGAGGTGCCCCCGGCTGTCCTGTCTTCCGCTTTCGTGGGGAGGGGCCTGGATTGCTTCACACTCAGTTCAAAGCTGAAGCTCAGGTACTGCCGCCAGAGCTGACACCTCGACTCATGGTAATTTCTACAGGAAAATTCTGAGTGGGATGTGGTCTACAGCGTTCAAGAACATCTGCGAAGGCGGGCTTCGGGGCAGGCTCACCTGCCTGCAGCCTCTGGGCTCACTGCAGTCCCCTGCGGACGGGGCAGCTGCGTGGACAGAAGGCAGCACATCCCCACGGTCCAGCACAGTCCACCGTGGTGCCCTGCCCTCTCCCACCCCATGCATCCCTGTGGTCCAGCACAGTCCACCGTGGTGCCCTGCCCTCTCCCACCCCACACTCTATGCTTACTTCATATATTTCTTTCTTCCAGTCTTTTGAGAAGTACTTGCTGAGCTTTTGCTCCAAATCCATAAATACATACTCATTATCTGAAAGCAAAAGAAAAGGCTTCATCAGAGTGGTCACCATGCTTCTCAGGTGTCACCGTTTGTTCAAAACTGAGTGTGGCTTTGAGAGAAGAGAGGCACAGCTGAAAACTATGTGTCTCCAACTGATGCTGTGTACAGGGCTTTCCTTGGCTGACAATGCAAAGAGCATCCTAACACACATGCGGGTGTCAAATGCTTGCTTACTAAAATGATGTTCCAGCGTGCAGGAATATTACAAGTTGATATTCAAAACTGGCACATGATCCAGGCACGCCCTTTGGGAAAGCAATTTAGCAACACATATCCCTCCCCTCTTCCTCTGCAACCCAGGCACTCGTCTCTCAGCTATGGAATGAGTCATTTGAAAAATAGAGATGTCAGGGTTGGATGCGGTGGCTCAAGCTTGTAATCTCTGCAATTTTGGAGACGAAGGCAGGAGGATTGCTTGAGGCCAGGAATTCAAGACAAGCCTGGACAACATAATGAGGCCTCAGTCACCACAGGAAAAAAAAAATTAGCCAGGTATGGTGGTGCATGCATGCAGTCCTAGCTACTCAGGAAGCTGAGGCAGGAAGATTGCTTCATCCTGGGAGTTCAAGGCTGCAGAGAGCTACGAATGTGCCACTGCACTCCAGTGTGGGTGACAAGAGTGAGACCCTGCCTCAATCAATCAATCAATCAATCAAAATAGAGATATCTAGCCGGGCGCGGTGGCTCAAGCCTGTAATCCCAGCACTTTGGGAGGCCGAGACAGGCGGATCACGAGGTCGGGAGATCAAGACCATCCTAGCTAACACGGTGAAACCCTGTCTCTACTAAAAAATACATAAAACTAGCCGGGCGAGGTGGCGGGCGCCTGTAGTCCCAGCTACTCCGGAGGCTGAGGCAGGAGAATGGCGTGAACCCGGGAGGCGGAGCTTGCAGTGAGCCGAGATCCGGCCACTGCCCTCCAGCCTGGGCGACAGAGCGAGACTCCGTCTCAAAAAAAAAAAAAAAATAGAGATATCTATAATCTAGTACCAAGTTGATCAACTTCAAGTCAATGATCCGAGTTTTACCTGTTAATCTGGTTTCCCTGGAAACTACAAGAGATGCTTCTTTCTAAATTAGGTGTTTCTATATTTTAAAAATATTTGCCACCATGTGTTTTCTTTATGGCCTGGAAATATTAAACAATTTTCCTAGAGAGGAAAATAAAGCCTAGAGAGACACCCTTCATGCTGTGACTTAAAACTACACACCGTCCCTCCATGTCTGCTGGGAATTCGTTCCAGGACTCCCCTCAGATATCAAAACCTGGGGATGGTGTATGTGACTTAAAACAACACACGATCCCTCCGTGTCTGCTGGGGATTCATTCCAGGACTGCCCTCTACGCACGATCCCTCCATGTCTGCTGGGAATTGGTTCCAGGACACCCCTCGGATATCAAAACCCGGGGATGGTGTTGAGCTCGCGTGTACCCTACACACATCCTCGTGTACACTTTAAATCATCTCGAGATTCCTTATAATGCCTGATGCAATGCAAATGCTGCAGAAATCTTTGTTATACTGTGTTGTTAAGCTTGTATTATTTTATTGTTGTACTATTCATTGTTATTACTTTGAGTATGTTCAACATGAGGTTAGTTAAATCTGAGGATGCGGAACCCATGGCCCTAGGACTGAGTCCCTGAAATACACTCGAGAGGGAAGTCACCGCCCGGAGGAGCCAGAAGCAGTTGCCGGCCGCAGCAGTGGGTGCCTCAGGAACAGTGGCGGTGCAGGCTATCCCTGAACCTTTTACCTTATTCTCTGGCCGCCGACCACTCCAGTTCTGGCTGTCGCCTCACAGACACCTCCCTGGTGACAAGTCAACCAGCAGAATCCAAAAACATCATGCTGAGTTCCCGTGCAGGGGTCCCCAGGTGAAGGCAGGGCCAGGGCCATGGCTGGCAATGCATGGGAAGGCTACCACAGGGCCCGGGGTGACGGGTAGGGCCCACCTGAACGTGGCCTCTCAGGGTCACAGCAGTCAGCCTGGGCTCTGCCCAGCCTTTTGGCCCTCATGGTCGGGGCCTGACAGTCCTGAGAGGCGCGGGGGCCAGGGAGCTCACTGTGTTCCAGGCTCAGCGGAGCCTGGCGTTGCCCTTGCTGAGGGTGGAATCATGGCCCCCAGATGCATACGCTGAAGTCCTGGCCCCTGGCACCTCAGTTCCTGTATTTTGAGATAGGGCTTTTACAGAAGTCATTGAGTGGACATGAGGTCATTAGGGTAGGCCTTCATCCAAGAAGACCAGCATCCTTGTAAAAACATGGAAACTGCACAGAGACACACACAGAGGGACGACCATGTGACCACACAGAGAGGCAGCCATTGGCAGGCCCAGGAGAGAGGCCTCAGGAGAAGCCATGCATGCTGGCACCCTGGCCTTGGATTCCAGCCTCTGGAACTGAGACACAGATGTGTGTGGTTTAGGCCATGCCATCGGTGGCAGCCTGGTGGCTCAGAGTGAGGTAGGAGGCATGAGTTGACTCGGCGGGGGAATGGGACTCAGATACTGGACCAAATTGAGGACTAGCTAAAACAGAGATGGGGGAAGCAGCTTCCCATAAGACACGCCCACCAGCCGCGGGTCAGTTTACCATTGCCATGGCAACCGTGGGAGGTACCGCCCCTTTCCAGGCCAACAACCCGAGGATGTGAAAGTTCCGCCTTTTTCCAGAAATGTCTGCATAATCTTCTTTTTAATTTGTATATAAGTAGAAGTGGGTATGATTCTGAGTGCAGCCCTGCCTCTGAGCTGCTGCTCTGGGCGTGCTGCCTGTGGGGGGCCCCGGCTCTGCACCGAGCTGTGCCTCTGCTGCTGCCATGCATGGCTGCTTCGATAAGAGCTGCTGTCTAATGCCACCGGTTCATCCTCGAATTCTTTCCTGGGTGAAGCCAAGAACCCTCTGAGGCTAAGTCCCAACTTTGGGCTTGCCTTGCCTACCCTTCATCAAGAGGACCCGACGGCAGTGGTGGCAAGGCCAGTCTCAGCAGGGCTCACGGGGCCTGCGGTGTCAGCGTGCCTTCCCGAGAGTCCGTGGGCTCCACACTCTCCATTCATGATTTGGAGCTGAGGCCTTGAGGTGCCGTGATTCCCCCAATGTCCTCAGAGCCCTGCCAGACCCGGCTGCTGGCTCCGGCCCTCTGGGCTGACTGGACTTGGCAGCCCTGTGTCCCTGACCAGGCATCTCCTGGCTCAGGCCTTGCTTTCCTGCTGGCGGGGCCAGACTGTGGACTGTGATTGAGCACTGGAAACAGGAGCCTGGAGGAACCTCAGAGGCAGGGCAAGTGCCAAAAGCCGCCTGACAAGGCTGCCTGCTGTCCGACTGCCCCGTGTGACATGCTGAAAGGGACTCTGCTGTGACGCCAGTGGAAGGTGCCGTGGGTTAACCGTCGTGGGGGAGAAGGAGGAACAGGCTGAGCGTAGGACTTTCAGGGTAATGAAGTTCTTCTCTGTGACACTAAGGTGACAGACATCTGGCATTTGACACTTGTGCAAACCCAGAGAACGTGCCACACCAGGAGGGAGCCCCGAGGTCCACCCCAGACTGTGTGACACTGGTCACCATGGGCTCCTCAGTGGGGACAGACACACCACCCTGGGGAGATGTTGGTAGCACAGGAGGCTGTGCATGCAGGGAGTTCACATGGGAAATCTCTCCCTTCCACTCAATTTTGCTGTGAACCATAACTGCTGTAAAAAATAAAGTCCTAAAATCCTAAGTAAGGCCTCTTTTGCCTCTGAGATTCAAGGCTCCCCAGGGAGGAAAAAAACCTGTGACTCAGTCACAAAAATCTGAATTTGCAGCAAACATGACCGCCTGCCCTGCACCAAGCTGCCGCAAGCCCCCACCAGAAGCACAGAGGTTTGGGAGAGGTAAGGCATTCTTTCTAGAACATGCTGGGGAGACTGTCCTCACACCAGCACTCCCAGAACCCAGGGCAGTAAGCAGTGGGCAGTGGAGTCAGGTAGGCACAATTTCCTCTCAGTCAAGAGTCAAATCACCCAGCATCCTTCCTTGTGCAGTGTCGGGGCAGAGCAGGGGAGCCTCATGCTGCGGGGGCCCAGGGACCTGGTCCAATGACGTGGACGCAGGGTCCCCAGCAGACCCTGAACAGCATGAACCCTGGAGGGCAGCACGGCCAGCCTCATAGTCCCCGCCCTCCTTGGGCAGAACCTGGCGCAGGAGGCAGCCCCGTGGGCAGACACCAGACAGCAAGACTGTGGTGCAAAAGGTACTTTTAGTAGTTCAGACTCACAGGTGATTTAAAACAATGTACAATCCCTCTGTGTCTGCTGGGAATTGGTTCCAGGACTCCCTTCGGATATCAAAACCTGGAGATGGTGTTGAGTTCGTGTGTACCCTACACACATCCTCGTGTACACTTTAAATCATCTCGAGATTCCTTATAAAACCTGATGCAATGTAAATGCTGTGGAAATCTTTGTTATACTGTGTTGTTAAGCTTGTATTATTTTATTGTTGTACTATTTATTGTTATTACTTTGAGTATTTTCAACATGAGGCTAGTTAAATCCGAGAATGCAGAACCCATGGATACAGAGCACTGTCTACTCTTATTTATATTAGAAAACCTGCAGTCCTGAGAATAAAAGCCACAGGGAAAAGTTAGTCCCAGATATGGCAGTACTCCCTTACAGCCACCTGCATTACATATGAAGATAAATCCCCAAGCACGTTCTGCAGATAAAGGAAGACACCAGTGAGGAAGACTCACCCACAGAGGCCTGCAGAAAGGGCATCACAGGGCCGGGTGCCTGGCTTGGCCCCTCTCCGCCCTGCCTGTCTTTCTAATCTTTAGTACCCTGCTCTTCTAGATGGCATTAGACCCAGAGGGGAGGCTGCAGGGCCGGGCGCATGGCTCAGTCACTCTCCACCCTGCCTGTCTTTCTAATCCTTAGTACCTGGCCCTTCTAGACAGTGTTAGACCCAGGGGGAGGCTCCAGG